TTCACATTTATTCATTTGTTCAACATATATTTATTGAGCACCTTGTAGGTGACAGGCACCATGCTAGGTGGTAGGATACAGTGGAGGGCAGAAATGGAGTTCCTGCTCTCATGGAGTTTACACTCTACTGAGGAGACGACTCGTTGAGCAAAGAAACACATCGTTCAATGTAAGATTGCAGTGGTAAACAAAACAAAACAACAACAAAAGATTGCAATGCTGAAAAAGAAATTACAGCAGTGACTTGGGCTAGAAAAGGAGGTGTGTGATGCTACCGTAGGAGCCTCCAGTATCTGACAAAGAATTTGGTCAGAGAGCTGTTGACTGATGAGACCCAAAAAAAAGACAAGACTTAGGTTTGGACATTATCGTTAATGGTCTTGTTTCAGACCTCAGGTGTAGTGAGCTGAGGTCACCATACTCCTTCTGTTCACGGTACATTATTATCATTGCTCCACTTGGGTGCCCTCTCTCATTACCTTTGGTCTCTGTTTCTCATTCCGATTCCCCGTTTCCCCCATAGGAGGGTAATGCTGAATTTCCAATGGGACAATCTGCCCTGTTGTCTGGCTTTCTCTGGGAAAGCTGATGGGTTGGGATTTTGTCAAATGGGAATGATGAAAAGATACTGGGTCAAGTTGAAGGGCACTGGAAAAGCTGTTACTGGAAGTTGGATAAGGAGGGAAAAAGAGAGAAGAAATGGATTGGGGGAAAGATGTGATTGAGCTGGAGGTCCTGATGACTTTGAGATCCGAGTACTGAAGAGGAAAATGATGATGGAAGGAAGGGAGGTTATGGTCAGAGATAGGGTGCTTGAGTGAGTGTGGAAATGAAGCACATCTGGGTGATGACAAAATTCCATGGCCGAGGTAGAATGGAGGAAGTCACTGGAAAAAAGTTCAGGTTGCACCCCTTCCTTTAAGAACACGTGGAAGTTGTATACATCATTTTCTCTCCTACCAATCAGAATTTAGTCACAGGGAATTCCCTGGTGGTCCAGTGGTTAGGACTCCATGCTTCTACTGCAGGGGTCACAGGTTCAATCCCTGGTCAGGGAACTAAGATCTCACATGCCACGTGGCATGGCCAGAAACAAAACAGAATTTAGTCACAGCTGTAAGGGACACTGGGAGATGTCATCTTTATTTTGGGCAGCCACAATCCCTGCTAAAATACTGGAGGGTCCTATTTCTAGAAAGGGGAATCAGATACTGGGGAACAGCTGGCATCCCCTTCCACAGGGAGTGATGGGGAAGTCAGCAGAACACAAAGTAGGGGGTGAAGGTGATATAGAATGGCATGAACCTAAAATGGGCAAGATTTTCTTCGAAGGGGGTGGAGAATAATCTGGGAGTGGTACAGAGAGGACCCAAACCCCAGCTCCCTGGCCGGAGGAAGGTGAGATGAGGTTTGAGAATAAACGCCACCACATGGAGGGGCTGTGGAGTGCCTTTCAGAGCAGTTGGTTTCCTGGGAAGGTAAAGAGAGGCAGAAAAGAGCTAGCTGGTAGTTTGCTAGACGGCTTTTGGGAGAGGTGGGGAGATAGAAGCTGGGTTGGGACCAGCAAGGACAGGGTTGTGAGGCTTCTGGATAAAAACAGAAGCTGAGCTGACTTGGTTTTGGTAGTGTCCGAGGGTGGGTCTTGCTTGGCCAGGGTAATCTAAACCAGAAACCGCTCCAACTCCAAAAGGCATGAATTTACCGATCACAGCCAATCAGCAGGGTACCTCACATACTATCCTTCTACTTTTGCGTCAAGCGCTTGTAAACCTGACATCCAAGACTTGGTATCAGCCCTCAAAATTGTGCATTTGAGATTACCTATATTTTATGTACACACACACACACACACACACACACGGCTTCCTAGCATCAGGGAGGAATACTGAAATGCCAAAAATGACCCCTACTCCCACAGACTGCTCAGGGTAGGTCAGTTTGCAAAGCAATGAGAAAAAGACCTGAAAGTTATTTTCTCCATAGCCGTGATTCAACACTGTCTCATCAGTCTCTCCTTAGGCTACTCTACTAGGAGTGCACCGCTCAGCCCGCCCTCAGGGATCTGAGAGTCGTCTCCATTCTCAGGGAAATTTCTTTAACCAAGATGTTGAGCTATTCAGGGGGCAAACTGACTTGAGCTGTACGACAGGACAGTCACAGCGGTCACAAGGAAGTGGCCTTTACACACACTCCTGTGAGCAAAGGGAGCAAGGACAGCTGTCAGCAAGAAGTCCTGACAATGCTGCCTCCGGAAATGTGATTGCAGGGCAGTAGGAAGCAAATGCTGCAATTTATTTAACCTTAATTCTTCCTTTGTTTTAAAAAGGGAGGGGGGCTATCAAGTACTTTGCTGAACTCTTATGAAAAATAATTTAGTCACATATAAAATGCCTAGCATATGCTTGGTTCATGGTAGGTGCCATATACAGATACTATTTTTTTTTCAGCTTTATTGAGATATAGTTGACATATAACGTTATGTGAGTTTAAGGTGTACAAAGTGTTGATCTGATACACTAGCAAGTGATTACCATCATACCGTACACCTGCATCACACCTTACACCTGCATCACATCGCATAATTCCTACTTCTTTTTCCTGGTAAGAACATTTCAGATCTACTCTGGTAGCAACTTTCAAGTATGTGATACAGTATCATTGGCTATAATCACCATGCTGTACCTTAGATCCCCAGAGCTTGCTCATCTAATATCTGGAAGTTTGTACCCTTTGACCAACATCCCCCTTTCCCCCATCCACCATTCTAGTCTCTGTTTCTGAGTTCAGCTTTTTTTAGATTGTACATATAAGTGAGATCATATAGTACTTGTCTTTCTCTGTCTGACTTACTTCACTGAGCATAATGCCTTCAAGGTCCATCCGTGTTGTCGCACACAGCAGGATTTCCTTCTTTCTTGTGGCTGAATACTATTCCGTGTGTGTGTGTGTGTGTGTGTGTATATATATATATATATATATATATATATCACATAGATATTATTTTATTTTTTATTATTTATTTATTTATGGCTGCATTGGGTCTTTGTTGTTGCGCACAGGCTTTCTCTAGTTGTGGAGAGCAGGGGCTACTCCTCGTTGCGGTGTGTGAGCTTCTCATTGCGGTGGCTTCTCGTTGCGGAGCCCAGGCTCTAGGCACGTGGGCTTCAGTAGTTGTGGCTCACGGGCTCTAGAGCACAGGCTCAGTAGTTGTGGTGCATGGGCTTAGTTGCTCCGCGGCATGTGGGATCTTCCTGGACCAGGGCTCAAACCCGTGTCCCCTGCATTGGCAGGCGGATTTTTTTTTTTTAATTTATTTTATTTATTTTTGGCTGTGTTGGGTCTTCGTTGTGGAGCACGGGCTCTAGGTGCGTGGGCTTCAGTAGTTGTGGCACACAGGCTCAGTAGTTGTGGCTTGTGGGCTCTAGAGCACAGGCTCAGTAGTTGTGGCACACGGGCTTAGTTGTTCCACGGCATATGGGATCTTCCTGGACTAGGGCTCGAACCCATGTTCCCTGCATTGGCAGGCGGATTCTTAACCACTGCACCACCAGGAAGTCCCACAGATATTATTTTAAAGCCTATTAGACCATAAACTCCCTGGTGGCAGCGACAGTGCTTGGCACTGTAGCAAACCATCGAAAATTAATGGAATGAATGAATGAATGAATGAAAGAATAAATGCATACTAAAGGCTCAGTGCTAGGGATAAGGGAGCTGCTAAACTAGGAGAAGCAAAGATCAGGAATATTGAGTTCAGAGGCCAGCACCAGGGCAGTCCTATGACTCAGCTGGAGACACTGTCACAGAAGCTGCCAACAACTGCTTACACTTAGCACAGCGCTGCATTTAAAAAGAAGAATCTGTTCAGAAGTGTGCCCAGTACCATACTGTGGAAAAGGGAGGCAAGCACAAGACCGGGCTAAATCTCCGTGGTCTGTTTGGGCGAAAGACAGGACAGGCTGTCGGATTCTCTTACACAGATGCCAACAAGAACGAAGGCATCACCTCTGGGGAGAGGAGATGCTGATGGAGTATTTGGAGAATCCCAAGAAGTACATCCCTGGAACAAAAATGATCTTCGCTGGCGTTAAAAAGAAGGGAGAAAGGGCAGACTTGATAGCTTATCTCAAAAAGGCTACTAATGAGTAATAGTTGGCCACTGCCTTATTTATTATGAAACAAATGTCTCATGACTTTTTATGTGTACCATATTTAAATTGATCTCATACACTAGAATTCAGATCATGAATGGCTGAGGTAATATTTCTGTCCTGATTTGAATAAGATTGGCTTGTGGCTAAATGAATATGGTCAGCTTTTTGAATTTTGATAGTAATTCTGGTTCAACAAGTACTATCACTGTTTTCCCCTTCTAAAGAGATGATTAAACTTGAATAAGGAATGTTAAACTTTTCAGGGATATGGCGAATGCCTTCTCAAACCCTATAGGAGATTGGTTTTAGATTTAGATTTCTATAACTGGTTATATTAATATATTTAAATACTGAGAAGCTCCCTTCACTGTCTCACAGACAAGCAAAATTCACCTGTGTTTCAAGTTGTGTTCATTTGCCTGTTAAAGCAAGGGTGAAGATACACTGACAATGTCCATTTTATCTTTTTGGTCTTAACTGTGCCAATTTAATTGAAATTCTCTACTTAAAAGTTTAAAAAATAAAATAAAAATAGAAAGAAGAATCCAGAAAGCTTCTGCTGTTTTCCAGATGAGCATGCTGAGGTCCTGAGTTGCCTGCTTTTGTCCGCCCCCATCCCCTTAAAGCCCGACGAGGAAGGGGGGCATAGGACATCCCTCCGAGCTCAGATAAGTGACGTAAGTGATGTGGTGCAGCGAAGCGGGGCGATGGAACCCCCTCCCCCCAGGCATCCTAACTTCCCACCGCAGCCTCTTTTCTCTGAACTGCATGTTGCTTCCCGGGCCCACAAAGGACAAAACGTGTTAGAACAGAACTGAAAACAGATCCAACAGCGTAAGGCATAGACAGATTCATAAAATTAGCCAAGGTTTTTTTGGGCATTTTGGTCCTCGTCTGTCCAAGACACACAGAAATAATATGAGGTACTTCTAAAGACACCGTGGGTGAAAACCACGGGGCCCAGGGGAGTCTCCCCGGCCTGCTCAGCAGCCTCCTTCCCGGGTCCAGTTTCGGGCATTGATGAAGAGCTGGAGCCAGGGGGAGGTGGTCATAGTGTCAAATGGAGGGGGTCGCCACGCCCACTGCCAAGGCCTCACAGACCGCTCAGGGTGAGGCATGAGAGCCAGGTGGCGGCCATCAGGGGAGCAGATGCCAGCCATGCCCCCTGGGGACCCGTTGGGATTCAGGGGGTACTGTTCCGTGGGGTTGCCATCATCGTCTGCCCAATGCAGCGGAGCCAAGCCCCTGGCCTCCATCTGGGCTTGGAGTTCCGGGGAAGAAAATGCCATATAACCTGGGGCAGAAGGAGGGGCGAGGGAAGAGGCACATGAGAGCAGAGCTCCCTGGCGTCCTCCCCCACCCTTGCCCTCAGGCTCTCCCGCCTCCCCGGAGGCTGACCTTCCCCGTGGGCGCTCCACACGGGCAGCACGGCACCCTCCATCCCTCGCAGCATCAGGGCCGGCCCAGCCCCCACTCGCACGCTGGCCCAGCGCGACTCGAAGCGCCCAGACCGGTTGTGGCACAGCAGGAGGCCGGGCCGGGCTGGCCAGGACTCGTGGCCCATCTCTGCCACCTCGTCACCAGGACTGCCTCCCACCCAGCCCAGCAGGGCCAGCAGCTGGCAGCCGTTACACACGCCGAGGCTGAAGGTGTCTGGCCGCTGCCGGAAGCGCCTCAGCTCAGCCCCGGCCTGGGGGTTAAAGGTCACAGCGGCTGCCCACCCTAGGAGGGAACAGGAGGCTGCGGTGAGCACCGGAATGAGGGGGGACCGTCGCCTTTCCATCTCAGCGTGCCCCATTACACTCGCCCAGGACCTCCCTGCTTTGCAGAGCTCAGGGCAAACGCCAGGGAAAAAAAGCAGGTTTAACTGATAGAAACAGATGTTGCCAACTCCTGGGCCTGAGATGGCCCATGACGAGTTTTCTGCTTAGGCAGCAGAGCATTTTCAAAATTTTTATTCAGTTGCCTAACATTTAATCAGGATTTCTGGCTTGTCTTGAAAAACAGAAAGATCTGGTTGTGCCGAGCCTGCTTTCCGACAGGACAGCCTGCTGGAGCTGAGTAGCAGCTGCCGCTTCTGACAGGGCACATGCCCCCGGGCTTGGCACGGTGCCACCCAGCCCACCTGCCTCACAAGCTACCTGCAGAGGGCTTCCCTGGTGGTGCAGTGGTTAAGAATCCGCCTGCCAATGCAGGGGACACAGGTTCGAGCCCTGGTCCGGGAAGATCCCACATGCCACGGAGCAACTAAGCCCGTGTGCCACAACTACTGACCCTGCGCTCTAGAGCCCGCGAGCCACAACTACTGAAGCCCGCGTGCCTAGAGCCCGTGCTCCGCAACAAGAGAAGCCACCACAACGAGAAGCCTGCGCAGTGCAATGAAGAGTAGCCCCCGTTCGCTTCAACTAGAGAAAGCCCGCGTGCAGCAACGAAGACTCAATGCAGTCAATGAATGAATGAATGAATGAAAAAAAAGGCTACCTGCAGGCCTGCTGGCGGCTGGCCCAGAATGAATGCACTCACGCTCCCCAGCCAGCTTCATGGAGGCGAGAGGCCAGTTCTCAGTCAAGGGAGAAGGGGGCTAAGGCAGCTCTTCAGGAACGTGCGGAGAGCGAGTGGGCAGGGCTGCACACCCACCTTTGGCAGAGCCCAGGACGTCCGCGTAGCTGAAGCCGCCCACGAAGGCCACGCCTTGGAACGTGTCCAGCCTGACTGCTCCAGAGCAGAGGTCCTGCATGGTCACATCCCACACCTGGCAGGAGGGGGAGGGCAAGTGTCAGAGGGCCCATGGCCCAAAGCCCAGCCCCAGCTCGGCCACGCAACCTGCTCACCTCAAACCCAGCCAAGTGGAAGGCATCGGCCATCTCCCGGTCTCCGTTACTGCCTTCTTCTCGAAAGATGGCAACTCGGGGGGCGGGACCACCTGGGGGGAGGAGTGTCCTTGTGCCAGAGGGTTACTTCCACACCCCAGCGCCCCAGACACCTTGTCCAGGGCAGGCCTCCACATCCAAGCCTTGGGCTCCTCCCCAAAGTGCCCGGGCAGCCAAGCCACTACACACATTTCCTCACCAGGCTCATGAGACACGGAAGCTGTGGGAAAGGTGGGGGGCAGGCAGTAGGTGGGCCCCGTCCGCTCCCTCAGCCCCTCTTCTTCCTGGGCCACACAGTGGGGCTCTGCCTGCAGCCGATCCAGCTGGAAACTGGTCTCCTCCCAGAGGGCTCGTAGCTGCCCAACGGGCTCCTCCAGAACGACAGCCCCGTTCACTGATACCCGGACCTAGAGAGGGGGGCAGATCTTTCAGGGGCTGAGAGCAAAGATGTCCACGTTGGGCCGCCTCCAAGGCTGGCAGAGGCAAACCACGACCTTCCCTCTGCAGGCCTGTCATTCCTCACTTCCTCACCATGGCGTGGGGCCCGGTGCTGCCCGTGCGGCCCAGCTCCAGGCAGTGGAGGCCAGCCTCCCGGTAACGTGTCAGTACTTGGGCCAGGTCTGGCTCTTGCACCTCCAGCACCAAGCCTGGCTCCTCAGCGAACAGTACAGGCAGCGCTGGGAGAGTAACAGAGGGGTCAAGGTGACTAGGGTATTGCCAGGGACTCAGAGGTGGAGTCAGGTGGCTATGGCTAAAGGAACGAAGGCAGGGGTCAGGGATGGGGTGAGGCCTGGGAAAGCAGGACCAAGGATGTGGCCTCAGGGTCTGCAGGAGGTTTCAGAGGTGCCACCTGGCTCAGTGGTCAGAAAAGACAGCAAGGGACTCAGGGGAAAAGGAGTTGGGGACACTCTACTCTTTAATAGGACATGGGGTCTGCAGGATGGGGCAGGCAGCCCAGGCTGGAACCTAGACCTCAGGCTCCTCACCATTGACCCCAGGGGCAGGGACGGCCACCTCTATCCCACAATTCCCAGCAAAGGCCATCTCTAGCAGGCAGGTGATGAGACCTCCGTCACTGACATCGTGGCCTGAGCAGAGGAGGCGGTCTGGAGGAAGGAATAAAATGCTCGGCAGCCTTGGGACCCAAACCTGGCGGCCGCGTCCCCCTTCTGACAGTCGGGAGGGGGCGGGGGTGAGAGTGTGGGCTTGCTCAGAGAACCAGAGAGAAGGGCATCAGACCCCTCTTGGCCCCCCCGCACGTGCCTGCCCCGTGTCAGCCACAGGCACCGTCTCCTCCAGGGCCTCACTCACCTTTCAGCAGCCCCTGGGTGATGCCGAAGGCTCGCACCAAGTTCTCAGGAAGGTCCAGATCGGGAGGCTGCTCGCCGAGCTGGGAGAAGCACTGGGCCAGAGCTGTGCCCCCGAGCCGATGGCGCCCAGGACTCAGAGGCACGTAGAGCAGGTGGCCTGGGGAGACAGGGGCGCGGTGAGGGGAGATGGCTGGCTCAGGAGAAGCCCGCCCGCCGTGCTCACTGAAGTTCCCAGGACGTGGTGAGGCACCCAGACCACCAGCCCCAGAAGGCACCATGCCCCAGTGCTGAACGAGGGGGCCCAGCACTCACGAAGCAGACCCCAGACAAAGGACCAGGCTGTGAATCCACAGTGCACCGAGGAGAGGGAAGAACCCATACCTCTCCCTCCGGGACACTTGAGGTCTGGGGTCACAGTGGCTGTAATGTCTGGACAGACAGCATAGGCTGAGATGACCAGCGACCCTGCAGAGCAAGCAGCGGAGAGTGAGGCGCAGCCCGGCCCACAGACCCGCCCCTTGCCCTTGGGCGCCCAGAGCTCACCAGGAGCCCGCACGGTCTCAGCGCCAACCCGGGCGGCCATGCTGAGGGAGTCCTTGCCACCGTCCACTGCCACACCCAGGGCCGCCATCACTGCCACCACAGCCCCACAGGCATCGGCCAGAGCCGCGCCCTCCCCCTGGAGCTTGGCCGCCCACATCCAGTTCCCGCTGCATTTCACGTCCTGGGAAGTGGCAGAGACTCGTGTTAGGGAGGGAGGGCGCTGTGGAGAGGCTGCGGACAGAGGGGTGAGCAGGCGGTGGTTGCGTCTGTGTCCCAGAGGCCTGGGGATCCAGGGCAGAAGCTGCAGGGGACTCACCCGGATATCGGTGACCAGAGCAAACACCAGGTTGGTGAGGGCTTCGGCCACGGCCAGCCGGGCAGCAACCTTGGGGTCCAGCAGGCTCTTGACTGGCTGCTCTCCCAGGGCTGTGGCAGCCCCTACAAGCTCCTGGTGACTCAGTGCCACCACCGCCACGTCTGCCAGCGGGGTCTGCAGGGGTCCCACACACTGCTGCTGTGCCACCAGGCCGCCCACGGAGCGGTCCACCTGCAGAACCAGGTGGAGTTAGCAAGAGGCCAAGGGACAGGGACAAGGGGGTGGGAGGAGGCCTGGCTCACCCTGAACACAACAAGACTCGGGGTGGACAGCAGGGGCTCAGGCCATCGGGGTAGCTGCCCTGCCCCTGCCACGTCCCCCTCGGGCCCGGCGGGCTCCCACAGCCATCCCCCGGGCTGGGCGAGCAGAGGGAAGGGCGCAGAGGGCTGAGAGGGTGGAGCAGGGGTGCGGGGCAGACCTTGCTGGTGAGGTAGCGCTTGCTGGCCACCGCAGGCAGCCTGAGGACGCGTGCCAGGGCCTGGCGCACGCTCAGCCCTGGGGGCAAGGCCAGGGGCCGCAGCACGGGCACACTCCTCTGCAGGAAGAACTCCTGCAACACAGGTGGCAACAGTGGTGTGAGCGCCTGGGGAGGTGCTGGGCACACAGGTAACAAAGCACGCGTAGGGCCGACGATGGTCTGAAGGGCTGGGCCAGAGAAGGAGAAACCTCCCGCCCCCCACATACCTTCCGGGGCATCTTGCCCAGCACCCAGTCCAGATCCAGGTCCACAGGGGTCGGGGGAGGTGTTGGGGGGGCATCCCCCTGGCCATCTCTTCCCATAGGACACTCCCGATCATCCACCAGCACTATCTGTAGACCAGAGGGACACCGCCCAGAGAGAATGAGACTATGACCACCAGCAGGGAATAAACACTTCTGGAAAGCCGGGCAGAGGTGCTCTGTCCGCCCCACTTGGCTTCTCCTGTTGAGCCCCCCGGCCCCACGCTGGTCCCCACGGCGCCCATGCTCTCGTCTCTTTCCTGAGACACTCTCCCTCCTGGGCAGCTCAAGCCCACGCACAGCATCTGTTACCGACTCCCTGAGCCAACTCACCCTCCTGTCTCCCGTGATGGTGCCCACAAAGCAAACTGGGCAGCGTTCCCGGGCGCTGACACGACTCAGGAAGTCCCGGTCGGGGGGCCTCAGCAGAAGTGCATTTGACTCCTGGTACTCGGCCCCCCAGATTTCCAGGGCATTCAGGGTCGGGTCCCCGAGCTGTATATCCATGGGGGAGGATGAAAGGGAAGGGTCAGCGGGCACTCCCAAGTCTCAGGTTCTTGCTGGGAGTGGGGGACAGATGGGTGGGGCCGGCTGGGACTGGCAGGGGTAGGGAGACAATCAGACTTCAGGGAGGAGACCCACCTGGAAGCGGCTGGTATAAATGACGGCTCCGGCCGGGTCACTCAGCTCCTTCAGGACGTTGCCTGATGAGAGGGTTTCCGGGAGAGGCTCTCATCTGGCCCTGGTCAGTACCGGGCAAACAAAAGGCCATTCCCAGCCTCCAAAGGAGCCCCTAATCCTGTGCATCCCTGTTTGAACCGCTACTGCACCCTCTCCAGCAACTAACCCTGAGCCTGTCCAGAACATGTAGTGGGTGCAGAGTGGGGCCCAGAGCTAGCTGGTTGGTTGCAGATCCGCGATACCTCTCCCCAAACTGAACCTGGCAGGAGACCAGGTAGGCCTGGTCCTCCGTCCCAACCCCTCCTCTCACCATTGCCACCGGCACCCTGGTCATGAAGACTGCAGATGGGGTTTCCTCCGGGGGCCTCCACGCAAGCCCGGATCACACGGTTCATCTTCTGTTCCATCTCCGGGTCTCCCCGCTGCACAGCCCCAAAGTCCAGGTCGCTGGCATTGTCTCCCTGCACCTGGGAGGACAGATGGCACATCTCAGCTCAGGGGGGCTGGGAGCTCACACCCCACCCATGCATGGGGCCCAGAGATGTCATGGAGTTGGCACCTGAGCTATTTGCACTTGCCTGCACGGACGAGGCAGCTCCGCCCCCAACTCCAATCCTGTAGACAGGACCCCCAACCTTCACAACATCCATGCCTGCGAGGAAGGAGGGCAGAATCGGAACACCCAGAAAGTGACCAGACGTGTGAGAACGAAGCAGTGTGAGGATAAAGGGAAGCTGGTATTAGAGGAGAGCAATCAAAATTCTTTGATTGGGTAAATACACTTTGAGGAATTTACCCTCCAGATTTATTCGCACAGGTACAAAGCACCTAGGTACAAAATTAAATACTGCAGCATTATTTGTATTACCAAAAACAAGAAATAATCTAAATGCTAACAACAGAGAACTGGTTAAATAAATTACGGTATAAGCCATATAATGAAAAACTAAGCCACCGAAACAGAGGATGTTTTTTTTTGGCTATGGCGCGCAGCTTGCAGGATCTTCGTTCCCCAGCCAGAAACTGAATCCAAGCCCTCAGCAGTGAAAGCACAGAGCCCTAACCGCTGGACCGCCAAGGACTGCCCCCGAAAAAGAGAGTTACATATGAATATAATGAAGTAATCTGATCTCATCAGTATGAAATGATCTCCAAGTATATTGCTAAGCTGAAAAAAAGCAAGGTGCAGAAGTATGCCTACCCACTTAGAACAGCATCAACAAGGATAAAATACTTAAGACTTACACACTGAAAATTATGAAATATCTTAGGAGGCCTAAATAAATTGAAAGAGATCTCCTGCTTATAGATCGGA